CCGCGAATGCTGACGGTCCAAGGTGGGTTCTTCTTGTGCTTTCATTTTAATGGGGAGGGGAGGTAGAATTAATAGAGACTTGAATGATTGCGTTTAAGAAAAGTGAAGTCCTGGGGCTGGAGAGATGGCTCAGTGGTTAAGAACACTGGCTGTTCTTGCAAAAGACCCAGGTTCGAATCCTAGCTGCCACGTGGCAGCTAACAATTGTCTAACTCCAGTTCCAGGGGATCCAACAGCCTCTTCTGTCCTCCGCAGGCATTGCACCACACTGGTGCACTTACCTACATGCAGGTAATACATGCATACACATAAAATAAAAATAATACTTTTTAAAAAATAAAAGTGAAGTCCTTTTTGGTATTACAGGTAGGGAAATAAGACTTGGGGAGGTAAGGTCTCCATAAACTACTTGGAGATGACCAGGGCCTGGGCCTCCCAAGTCAGGTCCACTGCTATGACACCAGATTGCCCCCAAAAAATCTTTAATGTTCCACCCAGACCTTTTAAAACAACTCAGTTTCACAGTTTTGTTGGTCTGGAATCTGGGTGTAGCTTAGCTCAGAGCCTCTCACAAGACTGTAATCAAAACAGAAGTTAAAAGTTGTGGTGTCTCCTTGTGATGGCTTTAGTGTTTGCCGCCCTAACACAAACCTAAACATTCCTGAAAGAAGTAGAAGAAAGGTAAGAATTGATGTAAGAGCCAGAAGATAGGGAAAAGAGCTGCGAAAAGCCATCTCAGCTGGACACAGCAGTTGGGATCATGCAGTAACAGTCGTGCAATGCCTGCACTGATCCTGCATGATCATAGAATGTTTAACCAAGAAGAGTAAAGAGAGATGTAGAAAGAACTTCATTAACCAAAGTTCTCCAAAAAAGAATCATCTCGGTGTATGTTTTGTATAGAGAGATTGCTTTTAAGGAATTGGCTCACACAGTTGGGGTGTGAGTCCAGATACTGGAGGCTAAACCAGCATACAGGAGGACTTGCAGCCAGTCTGAAGACAGTCTGTTGGCTGAATTCCTTCCTGCCTAAGTGAAGTCAGTCTTTGCTCAGTTACTCCTTCAGCTGATTGTATTAGACTCATCCACATTATGAAAGACAATCTACTCAGAAGCTGCTAATCATGTAAACATTTTTATTAAGACTATTTTATTGGAAAATAAAAATGTTTATGGAGTACAATGTAATAGTGTATGTATACCATGTGGAGTGATTAAGCTAATTAACATCTGGTACCTCATACATTTATCTTTTTTGTAGGGGGAGCATTTGAAATTGATTTTCTAGGTAATTTTGAAATGCACAATACATTATTATTAACTATAGTCACTATGCTGTGAACTAAAAATTATATTCCTCTTAGCCAGGGGTGATGGTGCATATATGTAATCCTAGTATTTGTGAGACTAGGGCAGGAGGATGGGGAATTCAAAGCCAGTCTGGGAAGCATAGTGAATTTGAGGCCAGTCTCGGATCCCTTTGATTAACAGCTCCCCACTCACCTAACTCCCAACCTTTGGCATCCATCATCCTGTTCTCTACTTCTTTGAGTTCATCTGTATTATATTCTTATATAAGGGAAATTATGCAGTAATTGTCTTTTGTCCATCAACAGATGAATGGATAAAGAAAATCTGCTACATATGTAAAATGGAGTATTATTCAGCTCTAAAGAAAAATAAAATCACAAAACTCACATGAAAATAGATGGACCTAGATGTATATGGTCAAGCAAGGTCATCCACTGAGAGTTTATTTGAACTTACAGTTCCAGGGGAATTACAGTCCGTCATGGCAGGGAGGCATGACAGCCGCAGGTGGCTGGAGCAGGAGCAGCAGAAGCTAAGCTCTCACATCATCACACAGGCACAGGAAGCAAGAGAGCAACTGAAAATCCTGCAAGGCTTAAGAACTCTCTAAGCCCACCCCCAGTGATGTGTTTCCTCTGGGATAGCCACACCTTCTAAGACCTCCCAAAACAGTGCAATCATCTGGGGACAAAATGTGCAAATACTTGGAGCCTATGGGGGACACTTTCATTCAAACCATCACAACATAGATACACACACAATGGATAGAATAACTGTATCCCTTTGTTTTGAACACTGATTGATCTAGAGGACATCATGCAAAGAAAACATTTAAATGTTCATCTCCTCCCCAAGCCAACATCCTACACACAGTCAGAATGACGTCTGACCGATATCTGAGCAGCATAGACAAACCAAGTTAACACATAAAATTAACCAACACATTAACCATTTACCAGCTGCCATTCTTCTAGAAACTAGGTAGTTATTTACACATGCTTTTATATAGTAACATTACATTAATTATGTTCACTATGTATTATGCACTGAGGTTTCTACATTAAAAACAATGTGAATCACAGTTAAAATATTCCAGTATGCCCATGCCTGACATGTTCGGAACATCTGTGTATTTCAGCAGTTCTGTCCTCACACTAAGGATTTGTTATCTTTCAAAGAGTATGTTATGGAAGAAGTGTGTGGTAGAAAGTATACATTGTTTTAATGCAATAGACCTGACTTTAGAATTTGGCCTTGCAATTTGCCAGCACTGTGAATTTTTTCAGTTTATTATGTATATGTAATCCAGATTTGTGAAACAAGGATAACTACTTAGCATGTTTTAATCAGATTTAATGAGCTAAGGACTTAGAGTACTCAGATATTTCCTGGAATTTGGTGCTATCAGTTGCCTCTGCCTGTCCAACATATCATATCATCCTAAAGCCGAAGGTGCCAGGCCCACATTCCTCTTCATAAAGTAATCTTCTGACAACATTCCAGACAAAATAAATTTTGGACATCTGTGTGAATCCTTTAATGCTGATACTCGGCTATAAGAAACTTCCTTTTTCTATTGATGAATTAAACATTCGTGCCTTTAACTTCCGTTCAGAGCCAGGATGTTGTGCCTTGCACAGTAAGGCTTTGGAATCTCTGAAGACAATCTTAATGCCTTCATCAGTCTTCTCTTACTCAGTGTTCACAGCCCTAAGTTTTAAAAAATATTTTTTTATTTCATTTTATTGCCTGCATGTATGTAAGTGCACCCTTGTCACTGAATGCCCACAGAGATCAGAAGAGGTCATCGGATCCCCTGGAACTGGAGTTACAGACAGCTTTTAGCTGCCATGTGGATGCTGGGACTAGAACCCAGGTCCTTTGCAAGAGCAGTCAGCACTCTTAACCGCTGAGCCATCTCTCCAGCCACCACATCCCTGAGTTTTTAAATCATTCACTGCCTAGCTCTTTACTCTGATTTTTCCTATCTCCAGGTGAGCCAACATCAGTACTTTTTACCAAGTACTCAAAGTGGGTTACACACTGTAACAGCAGGAACCTTATCTTCCTGCACTGGATAGGTAAATCTGAGTTAATATTGTTTGTTTGTTTGTTTGTTTGTTTGTTTGTTTGTTTTAGGTACAGGGTCTCCCAGTAGCCACAACAGGCCTTGGAACTATGTAGGCTACGCTGGTCTCCATCTCACAGAGACCTGCCTGCTTCTACCTCCCAAGCCCTGGAACTAAAAGTGTGCATCACCAAGCCCAGTTAATATTTATTTTATAAAATACATATAACAGGAATAATCAATAAACTTGTGCTAGAAAGTGCATACAACTTATTTCATAAGTGAAGTTGTTCAAGAAATGTATCTTAACTTGTAAACAATTTAACCTGATCAGAAATTTCTGGATCTCCTATTCTTCTGTGATCAAATCCAAGTCCTCCCTTTCCACCAAGTTTATTTTCTCAGCAGGGGGGAAAGAAGAAAGCTAATATTTGACTTGTCGATGTCAGTAGATAGCAATACGTCTAGTCTCCCATAAATGGTCCAGTTTGAGCAGTGAGCCTCTCCCAGGATCTCTCTTGATTCCCTCATGGCCCATCACGGTTTTCATCAGCCTAGTCCCTCTGGAGCCTTGATTCCTCCCTGGGTCTGTAAGAACAGGACAGCAGGTACAGGGTCTCTAGGGACCACTCAACTCTCCGATCCTGCCCTTACCCCACCCGTACTTTCTTCCTTGGCTTTTTAACCTGACGATGGGGATGTAGCTTTTCTTTCTCTGCTGTCCTTAGACATATGTCTGTTCTGCAACTCCTTGTCAGTTCTCTTGATGCTTAAAGTTGTGAAAAAGAAATGCAAACTCTGAAAGCTTTCTGCTGT